ATTCCTCAGCACCACATAAGCAAAAAGAAAAAAGCCAGAAGTGGTGCTGTGGCTCAAGTGGTAGAGCGCTAGCCTTAAGCTGAAGAGCTGAGGGACAGCACCCACGCCCAGAGTTCAGTCCCCACAACCGGATCTAAAAAAAAAAGAAAGAAAACATAGGGTACTGTTTTGTCATTTAGGAGGCAGTTAGTCAAAGTGACAGCATACCCAACTAAGATGAATTATACTAAGGGATAATTATTGCTAATATACAAAGCTTGGCTTTGTATTGTAAATCTGTGGTAGTAGGATAGAGGGTAAGGTCAGAAGGAAAAGAAGCCAAATGGTTCATGACAGTGGCTACTATTCTAAGCAGAATTTAGAAGACTGTCAAGGCTTGACCTGTTAGTACTTTCCATATACACCAGTGAGTGAAAATAAATACTGACTAAACAGCTAAATTCCTTAAGTTTAATGTACATTTACAGATGTTATATTCCTTTGTGTTTATATATCATGTTAATTTATGGGTGTGATCATTCAGTAAATTACCCCAAATGCATTAGCCCTATTCCTTTTTCTTCTTTCTTTCTTTTTGACATTTTACCTGGAAACGTTTTATTAACAGGTCAGGATTAAAAGACAGTTCCAGAAATAAAACAATCACAAGACATGGGAATGTAAAGCAGCGGCAGACAGACAGGCTAGTACTCTTCACTCTCTTCCCCATCAGCGCTATCTCCTCTAGCCTCTTCATAATCCTTCTCTAGGGCAGCCATGTCCTCATGGGCCTCAGAAAACTCTCCTTCCTCTATTCCCTCACCCACATGCCAGTGGACAAAGGCACACTTGGCATACATCAGATCAAACATCAGGCTCAGCATGCACATGGCTTGCTGTACCTTGGCCAGATCTCTGCCAGGAGCCATAGTAGGAGGCTGATAATTAATGTCAACCCTGAAACCAGTGGGGTACCAATCTACAAATTGGTACGTTTGTCTTCATGGTAGCAATGGCAGCATTGAATCTTTGGGTATCACATCACCATGGTACAACAGCAGCAAGCCATGTATTTACCATGGCAAGGGTTACATTTCATCATCCAGTTGGCTGGCTCAGAGCAAGCATTGGTGATCTCTGCTGTAGTAAGCTGTTCATGGTAGGCTTTCTTAGCAGAGATGACAGGGGTACATGTGGCTAGGGAAAGTGAATGCAGGGTTGGGGTACCAAGTTGGTCTGGAATTCTTTTAGGTCAACATTCAGTGCCCCATCAAATCTGAGAAAAGCTGTGATAGAAGATACAATCTGGTTATTAAGGCGGTTGGGGTTAGTGTAAGTTGGGTGCTCAATATCAAGATTTCTGTGGCTGATATAACAGAAATTATCCACCATGAAGGCGTAATTAGAGTGCTCTAGGGTGGTGTGGGTGGTGAGGGCTCAGCTACAGCTGTGGACACTTTGGGGATGGGGTAAAAGGAGAGATCCAGCTTGGACTTCGTGCCATAGTCTACAGAGAGCAGGTTGATGTACCCTGAACCAATTCCACCACCAAAGCTATGGAAGACTAGGAAGCCTTGGAGACCTGTGCACTAGTTAGCCAGCTTCCAAATTTGGTCCAAGACAAGGTGAGTGATCTCCTTGCCAATGGTGTAATGCCCATGGGCATAGTTACTGGCAGCATCTTTCTTGCCTGTGATGAGCTGCTCAGCATGGAAAAGCTGACAAAGGTGCCAATATGAACTTCATCACTGACTGGGCTCCAGGTCTACGAACACTGCCCTGGACACATGCTTGCCAGCATCTGTGTCACTGAAGGAGTTGAAGGAGTCATCACCCGCAATGGTCTTGTCATGGCATCTGGCTCTCAAGCAGGATGCTGTGTTCTAGGCAGTAGAGTTCCCAACAGTCCTTTCCAATCTAGACAGCAGCCTGGCCAATGTGGATAGAGATGCCTTTGTGCATGTGAGGAACTTGTGGATTTCTGCGATGCAGGATGAAATGGGGAGAGTGGATGGTGACAAGGATCTCCCACAGATTATCTAGGATTCTGGGGGAGAAGCAGTCGATTAGCTCTAGTCTTTACCACTTAACAATTTTTGACAAATTATATAGTCTATGTAATTACCATATCTCTAATAATAATAGAGTATATTTTTGTCTACTCATATTAGCTTTTAATAAAGCTAATTAAAAATATCCGTTTGATGAACTAAACAAATTTAGTTTTTGAATCCTAGAAGATACCATATCTGAAGCATGGAGATTAAAAAGTTATTCTTTTTTTTGTTTTTGTTTTTTTGGGTCCGGTCGTGGGGCCTGGGCGCTATCCCTCAGCTCTTCAGCTCAAGGCTAGCTCTCTACCACTTGAGCCACAGCGCCACTTCCGGCTTTTTTCTTTTTGCTTATGTGGTGGTGAGGAATCGAACCCAGGGCCTCATGCATGCAAGGCAAGTGCTCTACCACTGAGCCACCTTCCCAGCCTAAAAAGCTATTCTTTTAACCAGAAAATATATTTTTTTTCTATAAAAGTTGCATAAAAGCTGGGCACTGGTGGCTCACACTTGTAATCCTAGCTATTTAGAAGACTTAAGTAAGTAGTCAGATTGTAACCAGTCTATTGTGGTCCTGCCTGCCTAGGCATACACTTTGCGATCCTGTTCAATAAATAACAAAGGAAAAAAGAGCTGGGGGCATAACTCAAGAGGTAAAGTGTCTGTCTAGCAAGTACAGACTGATTTCAACCCCAGTAACACACACATACACACTCACATACAAGCCACACAAAAGCAGCAGTACAGTGCTGTATGGGGGGTAGGGGTGTCTCTTGAAATCTTCAGTAGGAAAGGGAGGAAGTGTGAGAAGCAATGATAAGTTGTCTACAAAGTGACTGGTGTGATATTATTAAAAGATACTGTGGAGGGATGGAGGAAGAAACAACCATCAAGAAACAAAACAACAATTTTAGACTGAAATAAAGAGCCTCTAATGTTAGTTGTAGCATGAAACTTGTACTTAGCAGAGAATTGTGAAGGTACTTTTACTGTCATCAGTCTTGGTTTTCTTGTTGATAAAATGGAGGTTGACTGGTGTGTTCTAACCTATGTTATGTAGTACTTGAGAGTTTTGTGAAGTGTTGTTAGGAAACAGACTGGGGACCAGAGAATAAGGGCTGGATTTTTAAAAGTTGAGCGAGGTTCGATGTTAGCAGACAGGGGCAAGGGTTTACTTTTCCTTCTCTCTATATATTCATGCATTCAGCTCTCTGTGTTGGTTGTAGAATTAGAGAATGGGGTATTTTTTGAAACATTGTATCTATAAATCTACCTTACATGTGTGATTCATTGTGAATAGGAATGAGTTTCTCTAGAATAATGAATATTATCATTAAGCCAGATTTTTTTTCTCTTCTAGAAGTTACTACTTTAAGAATAAATATGCATTTAGACATGAGAAGTACAAATTTTATATTTTTAAACAATTATTTTATGTTATTTGTTTTAACCAGTTACTCATGGGTGTATTGTTTCCACGATAAAACTTTTTCTACCAGATGGTATGGAAGCCCGGCTCCGCTCAGAGTGAGTATTATTTAATGCTGTGAGGTTTTTGGATTAATTATTGTGGTTAGTAATATTCTAGGTGATGATACATAAGGGATATTTAACAATACTAGAAAATTAATTTAGATAGTACTTTAAAAAACATATACTTCAGGGCTGGGAAGGTGGCTCAGTGGTAGAGTGCTTGCCTTGAATGCCTGAGACCCTGAGCTCAATTCCTCAGCACCACATAAGCAGAAAAAGCCAGAAGTGGTGCTGTGACTCAAATGGCAGAACACTAGCCTTGAGCTGATGTGCTGAGGGACAGCGCCCAGGCCCAGCATTCAGGCCCCATGACTGACAAAAAGAAAAACAAAAACACCAAATATATATGTATTTATATATATATGTATATATATATACACACACACATACATACATACACAGACAAACACACACTTCAGTTTAAATTGTTCTTCATATTGGTTGCAGTTCTACTAAATAATAATGTATCAGAGAAACAAGTTATTTTCTTTTCAAATTTAACTCTACAGTTTATAATTGAGTGGGTACTTAGTTGTATTAGAGTATGTAAATTATTAGTGAATGATAACTTCATTCCTTTTTTTTTTTTTTTTTTGTCGGTTGTGGGGCTTGAACTCTGAGCTTGGGTGCTGTCCCTGCGCTCTTCAGCTTAAGGCAAGCACTCTACCCCTTGAGCCACAGCACCACTTCCAGTTTTCTAGTGGCTTATTGGAGATAAGAGTTCCACAGACTTTCCTGCTCCAGCTGGCTTTGAACTGTGATCCTCAGATCTCAGCCTCCTGAGTAGCTAGGATTACAGGTGTGAGCCACTGGTGCCTGGCTTTCATTCCTTTATATCTGTTTTTAATACAGAGTTTAGCTTGTAATTACCTCTGAAGTTAATACTAGTGTCATATAATCTTATGGGACCTAGAAGATGTCTATATTAGTAGTAGTTTATTTTGGTGGGATACATAGGAAGTGTTATATTCTTATATAAAGGTCTGTTGTGAAATTTAGATTATAAAGTGTTAACATAGTACATTTTGATTTGTGTTTTTACAGATTACCATGATAAAGTATTGGGGAGTTGAACAATATTTTATTTTATTTGCCAGTTATGGTCTTGAACTCAGGGTCTGGGCACTGTCTCTGAGCTTCTTTTGATCAAGGCTAGCACTCTCCCACTTAAACCACAGTGCCACTTCCAGCTTTTTCTTTTTATGTGGTACTGAGGAATCGAACCCAGGGCTTCGTGCATGCTAGGCAAGCACCCTACCACTAAGTTATATTCCCAGCTCCTGAGCAATCTTTAACTGTCAATAATTTTACTTGGAAGGAAGCTTGAGTATCCTAGAAGGTTGTTTCTATATTCAATATACTATTTTCAATCCTTCAGAAGCCACCTCTGTTACTAAATTATAGTTTTAATAGTAGAGTTAAATAATGAATAGGAGCTGGGAAGGTGGCTCAGTGGTTGATTGCTTGCCTTGCATGCATGACGCCCTCAGTTTGATTCCTTAGCACCACATAAGCAGGAAAAGCCAGAAGTGGCACTGTGGCTCAAGTGGTAGAACGCTAGCCTTGGGCTGAAGAGCTCAGGGACAGTGCCCAGGCCAGAATTGAGGCCTCCACAACTGACAAAAAAACAAAACAAACACATAATAAATACTGAGTAGGAAGCCGGGCGCTGGTGGCTCACGCCTGTAATCCTAGCTACTCAGGAGGTTGAGATCTGAGGATCGCGGTTCAAAGCCAGCCCAGGCAGGAGAGACCGTGAGACTCCTATCTCCAATAAACCACCAGAAAACCGGAAGTGGCGCTGTAGCTCAAGTGGTAGAGCACTCACCTTGAGCTGAAGAG